TGAATTCGGAGCGTCCACCGAGTTTCGGACAAAGGTGCGGTGTGTTATAGCTGTCACTTAGAATGAATGTGATCATGTAGAACTGACGGTTTCTAATCTACAGGATGGCGGCACAGCACTCTCCGCAGCCTGTCAGTACGGTCACTCCAAAGTGGTGGACACCCTTCTGAAGAATGGCGCCAATGTCCATGACCAGCTCAATGTTAGTCAACTCTCTCTCTCTCCCCCATGAGGCCGGCCGCGCTGTTGCTCTTTAAAAGCCGGAGCTGCTCGCGGGATGCACGTTTGTGCCAGTTCCTCTAGGGTTTCTGCTGATTCAGTGCTCTTAGGAATGGGATAGGACACAGTTGGATTGATTTTTACCTTATAGTAGTGTCCTATTTACTTTATTTTGTCCTGTTTTTTATTTTAATAAATGTTATTTTAAATGCCATATTTATTTATTATTGTTTACGTAATTTTATTAAATGCAAAAAATTCCAGTTTTATCTGTCAAACATAATAACCATCTTCTCTGTTTCAGGATGGTGCAACGGCCTTATTTTTGGCTTCCCAAGAGGGTCATGTGACTGTAATACGTCAGCTTATGTCAACCGGGGCTAAAGTCAATCAACCTCGAGAGGTCTGATTTATGATCATGGCGTAGGAATTGTAATTTCTGTTTTTCATTAGTGGTGTTTGGTATCCTATTGTGATTTTCATTTTGTTTTCTATGTTGACTGTGTTTTTTGGGGGGGTGGGGCAGGATGGCACAGCTCCGCTCTGGATGGCAGCCCAGATGGGACATGACGAGGTGGTAAAAGTTCTGCTGCTACGAGGTGCGGACCGTGATGCGGACAGAAAAGTATGTTGAAAACTTGGTTAAATTATTAAAATTTCAGTTTCTTGTAGCTCCATACGTATCTCTACCCAAATATTTAGTATTATTTTAATATTTGTTATATTTATTTCAATGTGTTTTTTTTTTGTTTAATTAATGTTTTATTGTGTTTTATTATTTAATTGTTGTATATAACTAATTACTATTTTTATTCAATTTACTGTTTTATTTTATTTTTTATTATTACATTTTTTGTCAATATTGTTATGTAAATTATTATTTTATTATTTTATTAATTACTGCTCGATTATTTTTATTTAATTCAATATTTATTATATTTTACTGTTATTTTTATTCAATTAAATATCATTAAATAAACAATGATTCAAACATTTTATTTAGGGCTGTCAAACGATTAATCGCGATTAATCGCATCCAAAATAAAAGTTTGTGTTTACATAATATATGTGGGTGCACTGTGTATAATTATTTTGTATATATATAAATACACACACATGCATGTATATTTAAGAAAAATAATATTTTTTATATTTAAAATATTTGTAATTATATATAAACAATATATAATTCTATATGTGGTATATACATGAAAATATTTCTTGAATATATACAAGCATGTGTGTGTATTTATATACACTGTGCACCAACATATATTATGTAAACACAAACTTTTATTTTGGATACAATTAATCTACCCTCTACCCAAGCTTGACTCAAAGTGTTCAGCCAGGTGGAAAAGAAGCTTATTAAAAATGCATGAAATGTTTGTCAAATGCCTCATTTCTTCTATTATGCTGAGTCTCTCATGGCTGTAATGGCTTGTGTTTCTGACTGAAGGATGGTTCTACGGCTCTGTTCAAGGCTGCACATAAAGGATACTGTAACGTCATTGAGGAACTGCTCAAGTTCTCTCCCTCACTTGGCCTTCTGAAGGTACGAGAGACGTCATCTGACATCAGTAAAAACAAATATGATACAATATGTGATCGCATGTGTTTCCTTCCTCCTTCATGTTTTGCTGTGTGATCTAGAACGGTTCTACAGCTCTTCATGCTGCCGTCATGGGCGGGAATCCCAAAACAGTCGCACTGTTGCTGAAGGCAAATGCCGATCCAGCTTTACCCAACAAGGTCAGTTTCAGATGTGTGGATATACATCATAAATAATTATGCCAGTTGTCCATGCAAATGAATACTGCAATTTATATACAGTATATGGGGTTGTTTTGAACAATTTGACAGCTAGGAGGAGCTAATTATACTAAATTCCGCAGTATTCAAATTCAGTTCATAGTAGAGAATGAAAATAGAGTTTTTCTCTTATTGTACCACATTCTGATGGAATCACATTATCTCTACAGAACAATGAACTGCCGGAGGATCTTACGAAGAACGAACGCATACTAAGAATCCTGCGACTGCCGATGCTGAATGGAGGGAGTTGATGACTGCTGTGTTTGTTTTTATGCCCATGAAAAATGAATGCACTACTTCTCAGTCCCAGGAGACTGAAAACAGAGCAGTCGCTGCCTGCAACATCTTTCCAGTCTCGTTCAGTGGATGCTTGAAGCTTCAGATCGACAACACAAATGCACTGAAAAGCAGAATTGCTTATTCTTCATCCTTGAAATGTTATGACATACTGTATTAATGTCATTGGCTTTTTGTTTTCAGTCTAAAACATTTATTAAAGGTGCTCTGTGCTCTAATATTTTTTGACTGTACAAAAGCATAAAAGTACCATATGTTTGCGGATAGGAAACATGCTAAGTTCAAATAGTTGTTTCTTTGAAAAACGATGCTACAGCCAATTATTCTACTTTGAAATGTGAGTTCCGTGTCGGAATGTCCGGTTTTGTTTTGGCCTGTGTGACTCCGCCCACTGCCAACTTACCCAATAGTATTTCGACACCCCGGGTTTGTCATTTGGCGGAAAACGACGCGATGGAAACCAGCAAACAAACCAAGTCAGAGATCAAAAATTGTACCCGATTTTTACCCGCAATATTTTTATTGCCAAGAATATATTTAAAGGGATAGTTCACTTTGAAATTAATTTTTGACATGTTTTAGCTTACCTCAAGGGCATCCAAGATGTAGGTGTCTTTGTTTCCACAGTAGTTTCAATTTTGATATTTTTAGGTCAAACCGTTCGTGTCTGTCAGTCATATAATGGAGGTCTATGGTCACCACCTCAAAGAGCATGCACAGAGAAGTCCAAATTAAATATGATTTAATGACTCGTAAATGTAAGTACACATTGATGGCCTAAGACACAAAATGAGTGGTTTGAGTGAAAAAACAAACAGTATGTATATATATATATATATATATATATCGTTTTTACCTCTTGTAACCACAGCCACGTCCAAGTTTTCTGAAGGGATGGGCACTTCGGTCTGCGCAAGCGCTGGAAAGCGCCAGAAGTGATTTGGACTTCTCTGCGCATGCTCTTTGAGGTGGTGACCATAGACCTGCATTAAATGACTGACAGACAAGAACCGTTTGTAAGTAATTGAAAATACTGTGGAAACAAAGACACCTACATATTGGACGCCCTTGAGGTAAGCTAAAACATATCAAAAATTAATTTCAAAGTGAACTATCCCTTTAAATATATTCTTGGCAATAAAAATATTGCAGATATTAACTGATGAAGTTACACTGCAGTCTGTAAGGCTTATTTCTATTGTGCGTCATAAAATCTGGCAATCCGCCTGATAGTGATAGTGGATTCTGAGGAGGAAATGGCAGGAAAAAACTCCAATATTTCAACCGCTAGCTGTCCATAATGCACCTTTAATTTTGCAGATTTTATAAGAAGCAGCAATTTATGCTCATTTAAAAAAAAGTTGCCTATTTTAATTATCAGCATGTTTACATGAATCATTGGACAAAAAGTCACAACCAAATAAAAAGCTCATTATTTAGATTAATATATATATATATTGTTGGCTCTTTGATGAGTAGCTTAACTTGTCATATTTATTTTCTGCTGCAATGCATTTTGGACTTTATTTTATTCACTTTTCAGAAAATCTTGGTGCTTAAATCTTCGTTTTCTTAACATTTTATTCTGCATTTTGTCTGTGTGAGAAGCGTGTTAAACTGTATTTTTCTCAAATCAATAAATGTAGAAGAAAATATTGTTTTTTAATGTCTTATTATTATCAAAAAAAGATTTATTTGATTGCATACACAATTTTTTTAAAACATTACTGGCACAATTTATTTATTTTTGTATGAATTAATTGTAGTAAAAGTAGTGTTTCTTCCTATAAATGTATTTTCTGTTGAAATGCATTTTGGACTTATATTTTATTTAAAAATGTCAACCTTGGTGCTTAAATATGTGCTCCCCTAAATATGAGTATTATGGTTAATTATTTTTTTTTTAAACAATAAATGTAAATCTAATGTATTTTATGTGGGAGTGAACTAAATAGTTTTATTAAACTAGTATTTTTTATTTTTGCTACGTCGCAATGGAGGCGTGTCTGAAAGGCGGGAAAAGGTGTGGCATGACGCCTGTCACCCGTGACGTCACGGTAAACACTCAGTGCGGAAGTGCGCTAGGACGCACAGATTTACCTTTTTTTCTTTGAGATTTACCAACAACACAACGCGATTCTGCGTTACATTAATTTAAAAAATGTTTACACTTGAACCGTAACAAATCATAAGTTTTCTTTCAAATCGCCGTCAACAATGACGAATGCCAATTTACAGGTAACGTTAAGAGACTTTACAAGTCGTATGACAGTCATAATAATAATTGGCCTTTTCATGTTGTCCTTGCTATATATGTATTTTTATTTAGCATTTGTAGTCTTAATTTTTTTGCTCTAGTTAATTATTAGACACGATAGAGTCTAAAATATTCATGATATTGTTCAGTTTTAGCATATTGGTTTGAGAGGTAAATATGCATTTTGTTCTTGTTACTTTGGAGGATTGTTTACGTTTTTGATAGATACGTAACATTACATACATACATACATAAATGTAAGAAGGTGCTTATTAACTTATTTGCAATATTTGGTAAAGGTTTTTTAACTAGTGCCTGTTGTATATTTCTCAGCCTGTCCTTAAACTAGTCTAACCAGTTATCCGTACATTACACCACACTTTAACACTTTAACATAACACTTAAGGACTTTCATGTTATGTTATTGTTTTACTCTTGTCTCAGATTTTAATTTTAACTATATTATTCATTTGAATAGAAAACATCAAGAGAAATATTAAGCAGAATAATTTTATTCAATTTACAATTACATTTTATTAATCAATTTATGCAAAAAGTATGAAAAAAATTTAATTGTGAGCATTTATGAAGAAAAAATGTCAAATTAGAATGAGTCGCTAATGTTACAAATTACACATGTCCACTGCAAAATGATGTTAAATACTGCACACATAATATGGATATGGTGGAAATGACCTGGCCAAAAGTGCCTGTAGTTGATGAAATGTCTGTCTGTAACATGTTAAGGCTAATAAAAGGTCCCATCTATCTTTACTTCTGTGCAATAGAAAGCCATTGATTTGGCCAGCAGAGCCTCGGAGGAGGACAAGGCGAAAAACTATCAGGAAGCTCTGCGCCTCTATGAACATTCAGTCGAGTATTTTATTCATGTGATGAAGTGTAAGCTTTTTTCAAGCAATTTAAATACATTTATATTTTATTGTGAATTATATTTATATTTATTGGGAAAATAGTTTTTGATAAAATAAAAAATATAAATACACTTTAAATTAATAGTATAATAACATTTTATTATTAGATATTAATACAAATATTTTTATAATATTAATGTTTAAATGATAATTATAAATGTATTTCATGAGCCAATATGTAGTCTTATATGTATATAGCTAAATATAGATATATATATTATATATATAGCTAGCTAAATACATTTAAAACTCTCTATATGTGTTTGTGAGAGTGTGTGTATTAATATATATATATATATATATATATATATATATATATATATATATAGCTATGTAAGACTACATATTGGCTCATGAAATACATTTAAGTATCATTTAAACATTAATATTATTAAAACAACAATATTTAATTCATATTTATACATGATATACTATTAATATAGTAATTAATATAATATACTATTAATTTAAAGTGTATTTACATGTTTATTTTATTCAAATATGTTTTGCGTTCCTCCATTGTTTTTATTATTCATATCTAAAATATTGTTTGTTTGTTGTACTTCTATTTATACAATATATTGAGCAAAAATACATGAACCAACAAAGGCATGTTTTTTTGATGTTTTATTGTGCCGATGATTACAATTGTTTTTATATGATTTAAATATTAGATAATATTTAAACAATTATTATAAACATATTTCAGAAGCCAGTATGTCTTATATAATTGTGTATTTATTTGTATGTTTAATCTAAAAAAAATGTTTTATTTAATTTTAAACATTGTGTACTGTTATTTGATCCCTCATTAAATGTACATTAAATCAATGCAATTTAGTGAGCAAAACATTCATTTATTTATTTTTGATGTTGTAGATAATTATAATTTATTCATAATATCATTTAAGTGTTAAATAATTTTTCAATTATTATAAATGGATATGTAGTTTTATAATACATGTATATTATTTTATATATTTAAATATTCGCTAAATATTTGTTTTATTTGTATATATTGTCATTCAATATATATATAAAACAATTCGGTGCCTCATTAAATGCAATTTAGTGAGAAAAATGACGACCTACTGGTGTTGAGTTTTCTTATGTTGATGTTTTATGGTGCAGATGATGTTCAAGGGGAAAAGGCCAAGCAGAGCATCCGAGCAAAGTGTGGCGAGTACCTGGACCGAGCGGAGCAGCTCAAGCAGTACCTGAAGAAGAAAGAGAGCGCGCCGCCCTCCAAACCCGTCAAAGTTCCCCAGTCTGATGACAAAGGGTGAGGCGCTCCACTTCCTACTGAATCGGCTAATGAACTTCCTGTTAAACAGAAAACCAAATGTAACATTCTGTTTCTACAGGACCGACAGTGATGATGGCGATGCAGAGAAAAAGAAATTCAAAAACCAACTCCAGGGTACAACATTTTGTGCTGTATAGACCTTTTAAAGTCATAATGGGATCTACAAACAAAAACCTTGGATTTTCAAACTTTTCAGGTGCTATTATCATGGAGAAGCCTGACATTAAGTGGGATGATGTTGCTGGTTTGGAAGGAGCCAAGGAGGCCCTTAAAGAAGCGGTCATCCTGCCAATCAAATTCCCTCATCTTTTCACCGGTATGACGGCGTATATACTGTAATGAAAGAAATATGCATGAAAGTGTCTGAACTGTTCTAAGCATCACTATCCACAGGGAAAAGGACTCCATGGAGAGGGATTCTGCTCTTTGGTCCTCCGGGAACAGGGAAGTCCTACCTGGCCAAAGCTGTGGCCACCGAGGCCAACAACTCCACGTTCTTCTCCATCTCATCATCAGACCTGGTGTCCAAGTGGCTGGGAGAGAGCGAGAAGTAAGTGAGCGACAGATGTTGAGTGCAATGATTTTAACATCTGGCATTATTCATTAGGTTAGTAGGACTTAAATACAGTTTAAATTAATATTATTTTAATATTCAAATAAATAACACAAATATTAATCATTTATTTTAAAATAGTATTATTTAAATATTAACTATAATATTTATATGATTATTATTATATATGGATTTCTCAAGCTAATTGCAGGTGTATATTTTAAGATTTCAAAATTTTGTGAAATTTATTTATTTTCATTTCATGTTTTGTGTAAACCATGAAATCTCTCTCTCTCTCTCTCTCTCTCTCTCTCTATATATATATATATATATATATATATTAGGGCTGTGCAAAGATTAATTGCAATTAATCGCATCCAAAATAAAAGTTTGTGTTTACATAATATATGTGTGTGTGCTGTGCATAATTATTTTATATATATAAATACATATGCATTCATGTATATATTTAAGAATTATTTGCACATAAATACTGTATATATATATATAAATACATAACCTATATTATATATAAATAAAATTTATATATGAATAACACATTTTCTTAAATATATACATGCATGTGTGTGTATATTTATATATACAAAATAATAATAAATAATAATAATTATACAAAGCACACACAATTATATTATGTAAACACAAACTTTTATTTTGGATGTGATTAATCGCAAATTAATCTTTGCACAGCCCTAATAAATAAATAAATAAATAAATATACTGTATATAAATAAATATATACTCTATGTAAACATATATTTATAGAGTATATATTTATTTATATACAGTATATATATATATATATATATATATATATATATTTGGGCTGTGCAGAGATTAATTGCGATTAATCACATCCAAAATAAAAGTTTGTGTTTACATAATATAATTGTGTGTCCTTTGTATATGGTTAAACAAAGCATAAATGATAAATGATTAAAAGAGTTCATGATGATTTTTATTGTGGTTTTAAAGTGTGTGTAGCTTAAATTTATTAAAAATAATTATATTTATATCTTCTTTAAGTCTCATTGTACTTATAAATAAAAGTAAATCATTGCATTTTTTTACACTTTATAATTTATTTAATATATATTAAAATTATACATTAATGTAGTGTATTCATAATTATTATGAATTTTTATTATATTTTTTATTATCAATTATTATTATCATAATTAATGTAGTGTATTAATAGTTATCATTTTTAGGTTAGTGAAGAATCTGTTCAGTTTGGCTCGGGAGAACAAGCCTTCAATCATATTCATTGACGAGATCGATTCCTTGTGCGGCTCGAGAAGCGAGAACGAGAGCGAAGCTGCCCGCAGGATCAAGACAGAGTTTCTGGTCCAGATGCAAGGTAAACACAAAGCTAGCGTTAGCTTTGTCGCAAGCGAGAAAAAAAAATTGGTCTCATTTGACAGGGTTATTATTGTTTTGAAAATTGTATTTGTACATTTCTGTTTTTTAATTTATTATATTATTGATCATTACCTTAACCGTCCCATTCTCACAGGTGTAGGAAACGACAACGAAGGAATTCTGGTCCTTGGTGCGACCAACATCCCCTGGACTCTGGATTCTGCGATCAGGAGAAGGTGCGTTATACAAATCCACACACATTTGAACTGTTTTAAATGTCTTTATTGGCACTAATTTATTATTATATTATTACAGGTTTGAAAAGCGCATCTACATCCCTCTCCCTGAGCAGCCCGCTCGCACCTCCATGTTCAAGCTGCACCTCGGCTCCACCCCCAATAGCCTCAACGAAGCTGATTTCATCACTCTGGGGAAGAAGTCCGACGGCTACTCGGGTGCCGACATCAGCATCGTCGTTCGCGACGCCCTCATGCAGCCCATTCGCAAAGTCCAGTCGTCGACTCACTTCAAAAAGGTACGAAAGAACAATTGCGCGACTAGTGAAGCAGTCTAATGGATCCGATTATATCCTTTCGTGTTTCGTTAACAGGTCAGAGGAAAGGCGTGGAACAACCCGGATGATGTCGTGGATGACCTCTTGACGCCCTGCTCTCCAAACGACCCAAACGCAGTCAAGATGACCTGGGTGGACGTGGCGAGCGATAAACTCCTGGAGCCGATAGTTAGCTTGGTAAGTTTAGTCAAAAAAGAATGTGTTAAAATCCCAGAGCTTGTTTTGATCGTGTGATCTGTGTCTCAGGAGGACATGTTCAGGTCACTCGAGAAGACCAAGCCCACCGTGAACGAGGAGGATCTGGAAAAGCTGAAGAAGTTCACTAAGGACTTTGGGCAGGAGGGATGAAATTGTGCTTTCTTATGGCATTTATGTATATTTTTTTTCCCATTATGTTTACAAAGTCCTTTCTGCATCTTTTATTTTTCAAACTCTTCATTTTGGCATTTTCTGGGGGTGAAACTTTTTTGCGAGCTAAGCTGGCTTTACATTGTCCTGACCATATCCGATCAGTGGTTATGATTTTGGGGATGATTAAGCATCAGCAGCCATGTAAAAACAAATCAAAACTACTATATATATTCATAACATGAGAGGTTTGTTACAAATGGACCCTGATGTTTATGCGAGACTAAAACAAAATGTGTCACTTTTGTACCTCATTGCTAAATAAGACCTTAGCTCAAAGAAACACACAAAAATAGTTAAATTACTAAACTTTGAACCAAAAGACAACCACAGATCTGTGAAAAAGTGTTTACAAATGTGTGAATGCATGTTTGGGTAATCAGACATGTCTAGATGTCTTTTTTGAAGTTTATTTTTCTACTCTGTATTTCTACTTTCATCTGTAAATATAAATGTATAAATTACCTCTGATCGCGTGTTTTTCATGTCTTGTTTTTACTTTGATCTAATGATTACATGCAGCACTTGAAAGAAATGGCTACCAGAAAAATACAGTACCAACAATAAACGGCAGGGAGCGCTATAACACAGTGACGCAGCACAATCCAGTCACGTCATTTGCGTGACCACGTCACTCTTCACTCTTAATCCTAAAACCGTATTCTGGACAAATGTGGGCAAAAAAAATAGTTTTTATTTATTTTTAAAAAATACTTTACTTAATCTGAGCGGTACAAGACTTGGTTACTTTTCCTAAGTTTGCCTCCTGAACACACACAATTTTTTTGACTCAATTCTACAATGTTAAGTGGGTTAAAAAAACCTCCTTAATCTTGTATTTCGGTCAAAAATGGGCACCCATAGAAATGAATGGGGAAAACTGTAATTTAGAGCATTCTAAAATAAGACGCCAGGTGATAGCAAAGTAAATTCATCTTCAGGTTTTAGCTCTAAGAACTTATTGGAATGATATTTTAATGTAGTTAACATTTTTAAAAATTTAAAACTACATAGTATTTAATTTACATAGAAAATTTGGTACTTTTTGAAGTAAATAAATCCAAAAATACCCCCAAAATAAAAAAACCCACCATAAATGGATAGACAAAACTTTATCGAAGACAGCGATATAACATTTATAATAAATACAAATTAGGATCACACCTGAGTCCTCTGTGCCCACATTTGTCCACAATTACAAGATTAAGGGCTATGAAGTGAATACGGTTTGAGGGCTACAGTAAAGCATGTCCTTTAGTGTTTTTTTTTTTGTGTGTGTGTTTATTATTCAACATTGCGGTGTTTATTATATAGTATTAATCTGTGCACATAATTTTTATTATTATGAATTAAGAAAAATATAAAAATTATTAATAGAATCTTAATTTAAAAAATATTAACATGCCCAATCCAGTTGCTTGTTTTATAAGAATTTTCAAGGAGTCCCAAAAGGGTGTGTTTGTATCTAACGTAAAATGAATTTGACAATTGATACATAATGAATAAACTGACCAAATAAATCCCGGACATCTTATTTTAATAGTTTAAAAATAACACGCTGATGATTAAGTTGGTATATTTTAAAACATAACATTTAAACTGTTTTTAAAGTCCAAACAACATAGCAATAAAGAAAAAAACATTAGAAATGATATAAGCATCTCAGATGAAAATGTAATTTTTCCAGATCATTAAAGTGTTAAACTGAATCATGCCCTGAAATCCATTCTGATAAATCCTGTATAAATTAAACAATGAAGATTATTATCACTTATATGTATTCATAATTTTACCTGCTAACAGTAAGTAAACACAACAGTCAAATCGATCACATAATTGTGTAAATGCGACAGCAAGTCTAAACAATCACGAGTCGATGCAACTTTTCCCTGAAGTTTCCCTTACCGCATCCCATCACAAACACTGGGAATAATCATAGTTTGGTTAATTGGAAAGATGTAGGATTTAATATTAACTCTTAAGAGAGAAAAAGCTTCAAACAGGACAAAATAAATCTGTAAAGTTATAAGTAAAGAAACAACTGTAAAGAAAGTGTAAAGAACTGTTCTGTAAAGTTTACACAAAAAAGGGGAAAATACAAACTTGATATTAACACTGGGAATAAATAAACAATCAAATGAAGGCCGCCGCAAACAAAACAAAGGCGAAGAAAGGAATAACAACCAGAAAAGGTGCGGTAGAATTAAGGACGCACTCTTAACTCCTTCCTGAATAACATCGCAACTGCCGTCACAGTATTAATAACGTATCGTCATCATTAGTGTTATTTTCCTGTCAAATTAGCTTTAAATTAATATTTCACACAAAGATGAAAATTCTGCCATTATTTACTCGCTCTAAAATAGCTTGAAACGCATATGATTTTTAATTAAAGATATTAAAACAAAAAGTTCAGAATATATAGATATATTTTTATGTTGAAGAAATTGTCTAAGAAGTTATTTTATAGGCTTTTACCGACACTTTCACAAAGAAAAAAAAAATTTCCGACAGAATTTTTATTTTTGTGTGAACTATTCCTTTTTTTTTTTTAAAAGAGACTGTCGCACACATATTAATTTAGCAAAATGTTGGCTTTACACTGAAAACAGTTCCACGAACTAATAGAAAACAAAACAGGTTACCCATCATTCATTTCATCAGGGGTCTGTTCCATTTCTTCATAGGGCATCATTAGTGTAAGACGACAGACACAATAGACACTTTGTCTTATTCAAGAGCGGATGACCTTTAAACCTTACTGATTATCCTTATCTCGAGGCTAGCCGCCAATACTTTAGTGTACATCTTTGTAAGTTACAGATTAAATTTGCAAAGCAAACCCCTTTTTGGTGCATAATAAGCTTTGGTACAAAGACGAATACAGAAAAGCAAGCAAACGTACCCCCAGCCCGGCTACATTATCAGACCTGAACGTTACGGGGCGTAAAGGCAAAGTAAAAACAGCACGGGAACAGTGTCCCGTGCTGTAGGTTGGGCTGGGTTCACGCAAACACATTAGAATACGGAAAATAGAGAGCCGAGGGCCAATCCCGTCGCAGCGCCGGCCAACATCCCCAAAGCAACATCACCTGTGTCGTCACGACGACGCTCCTGCACTATCACGTGGTTGACGCCAGGTGCATATCCACCTGATGGAAACATAAACAAAGGTCAATTAAACTACATAAAGGTCAAAGGTTAAAAGCCAACCAACTTCCTGTTACCTTGATAATGATAAGGGTAAGCAACTGAGTACTGCTGCCCATCTGCAGAATAGACCATCTGTGTGGCGTAAGGCGGAGGATGAGAAACATAACCGCCATATCCATCAGGATAGAAAACCTAGATCAACAAGAACATAAAATAGGGATGAATCATGTGTCGGTATCATATCAGGAATATTTTTATTATCATTATTATTATTATTGGTATCAGTATATCATTTCCCTAATGTTTTAAATTTAGATTTTGTTTTTTCATTCATTTGGATTTGTTATTTATATGTTTTTATTTGTATTTATTTTATATCATATTTTAAATATAAAATGAGATTAAATGATTTTTTTCCATTATAAAATGATTAAATTATAAAAATGTATGTGTTTGCTAGTAAAATTGTAAATTATAACATTTGTCACATTTATTCAATTTAAAAGAATTTTAATAACTATAATTTATTTACACGAAAAAAGTATAGAATTTTAATATTAGCCATAACATGAAGATAATTATTGGTTCAAGGTCCTAAAGACAGTTTCAGTGCAAACTGTTCAAAGGGCTTTAAACGACACCAGACGATGAATAAGGGTCTTTTCAAGCTCAGAGCGAGGTGACCATTTGAGCTTATAAAACTTCAACTTTGTTTTTTTTGGGTTTTTTTTAAAGGAGCAATCATTTAAATGTATTCATCATCTGGAATCGTTTAAAGCCCTTTGAACAGTTTGCAGTTTGCACTGAAAGTGTCTTTTGGACCTTGAACCGTTTGGTTCCCATTGAAGTCTATTACATGGAGAAAAATCCTGGAATGTTTTCATCAAAAACCTTAATTTTCTTTTCGACTGAAGAAAGAATGACATGGACATCTTGGATGACATGGGGGTGAGTAAATTATCAGCAAAAGTTTTTTTTTAAAGTGAACTACTCCTTTAAAACACATTCAACCACATAAGCCATTTTCCTTTAAATATCAATAGGAGGATATATTTATTACCTGTGGAGTTGGATTTAATTCAGAATATGGCGGAGGAGCAGATGCTACGACGTCCTCTGCAAAACCGATCTGAGAGGGCGCCACAACCTACAAAACACACCAATGCAAATGCCTCTGTAATGCTTCCGAAATGTGAAAGATCAAATAAGTATGTGTCACTCAGTGTACAGTATATATAACTCACAGTGTTGAGTCTGGCATCCTGGAGGGCCATGGTCCAAGCCCTGCGAGCACATACATTGAGTTTATATTGAGGAATCTCATTTTAAAGCACACATTGTAAAATAATACTGAGAAACTGGACTCACAAAGCATCGTCTGCACTGTCTGCGCAGATGCTGATGATCCGACCGTCCCGGCAGACGATCTGCAGGAGGGAGTCTTTGCTTTTGCCTTCAGGTGGCGCGAGATCTGGAAATAAATAATGGAGGATGTAAAACAACACCACATCAGAACTTTCAATCTTGTGTTGGACAAAAACCTCTCAAGTACTACATAAAATGGCACTTTTAAGGCTCTTGTGTGCTGCTGCGGTTTAAAAGCAGAAGGAAAGACAGATCACACCTACCTCTACAAGCGCTGGACTTGCGGATGTTGATGCAGTCCACCTTCATGTGGATCTCATCTTCCATGTCCCGCCGCTGCTGGTCATCGTAGAAGACCAGGCGTCCATCTGACCAGAGGTCAAACCAGTTCCTCTTCCAGCGCCGCAAGATGGTGCCTGATAGATGACAGCAGAAGGTCACAAGCTGTCTTCATTTATTTTGTTGCTGTTGTTTTGTTGTTTTATTACTTTTTAGAATTATAAAATTTTATAAAAATATTATTTCTTAAAAATAATATTATTAAATAAAGTAAAAAGGTATATTATATGTATGAATATATTTGTTATAAATATATAAAATTATAAAATACATAATAACAATAACTACACATATATCATTTAGATAACATTATATATATTATTTTTTTAATGTTATTATAAAATAATTCAAAATATCAAATGTATTCATATTTTCATATAATACATTTATTATAAATTAATTTAATAAAATTATTTTTTATTATATTATTAAATAAAGTATGAATTGTATTTAGGTTTAATAAAATTATTTTTTTACATTATATTATAAAAACTATAAAAAATAAAGTATAAGTTGTATTAATTATGTTATACATGTATTAAATTATAAAATCATTTTAATTATAATTTATTTGGACAAAATCATTTTAATAACTGACATGTTTTAATTACATGTAAAAATAAAAAAATATTTTTTTAATCATATTATAAAATAACTTAACGCATCAAATTTATATTATATATTCATTAAAAATTTATCAAATTACAAAGATAAAAAAATTGCTCGTCAATCTAATCTAATCGCTATAGTTCTACCTAGAAACTATCTATAAAACAAAAAAAGAATCAAGCAGAAATCATGAAGTCAACATCTAGGAATAGCTTTAAAACACTTACAAGAATAACAAGATGCAGCCTAGATAGTCAGCTCACTAGGTTTTGAGACACAGTCAAAGACAAAGTTCAGCTGTTTTTCTACTTCCTTCTAACAACTCATGTCAAGAACAACTTGTTCATGACTGCTTGTTTTACTGAAGTGAATAAAAACTGAAAGCTAAACTGAAAAGCTTTTCAATTCACCCTCCAAGCACAAACACTTTCCATACCATTAGTTTATTTATATTTCATGAGTTCCCAGAAGGCTTTAAATTAAATAAGTGCAACTTAATATCGTCAATGTATTACACAACATCCCAAAATGCTCAAATTCGACATTAAAATTCTTCGTTGTAGTTATTTTGGGCTTTTTAATGCCATAAATATGGTGTAATAAACACTCACTCTGTCTGTGCAGCCATCCGCTCTTCACAAACGCCATCCCACTAACGTTACCTAAATAAATAAATAAAAAAACAATTAAAGCCTGCTAAGACCAATTTAGGTATTGAATATTAAACTGACACCATATAGATGTAGATATTGCCCCTGTTTTACAGTAAATATAGTTTAGCGTTTGAACTTCTCCGCCTGTCAGTTTCAGAGTTAGCTTGCGCTCGAGGCGCCGTAATGCTAAAATCGACGATTAACCGACAAAAACACACATATCAAGACGTTTAAAAACAACGAAACACGTTTAAAAATTACATTTGTCATATTTACGTTATATCAAATGGGTGAAATGAGAAAATCTACCCTCTATCGGTTTGTTGATGTTTGAAGTGTATGTGCTACTAGCAAAGTGACATCGATAGCATCCTCCTCCTCCTCCTCCTCAGCTCAGCTGATGCCTTATGTCACTGTATCAGATGATCAGCACGACTTTTATTAAGTTTCACAGACTCTTATTAACTTTACAAACTTACTAACATGATATATATTATCAAGAATAAAGACAATATATTTTAAATAAAGTATATTAAATATATTAGCCTACATTACAAATACTAAAATTTTACGAAGGCCTATTGTTTTTAATATAGCCTAATATTAATAATTGCGTGTGTGTGTGTGTGTAATATCACAAATTACGACTTTACATTACACTGTAGTATTAAATATATTATTTTTAACATCATTTTCTTAACAAATTCATTAAATGTTCCCCTTTTTTTGTATGAATATGTCATTGACAAATAGAATTGACTTGTCTTTTGTAGCTTTTTTCTTTAAATTAAAATAATATAAATAAATAAATATTAGGTTAAAATAACAATCAATTCCAAAGCCAACACAACATTAATTTGAAAAGCCGCACGTAAACCATCCGTTTCAGTAGTGCATAAACACTAAAATAGTTTATGCATAGACACCACTAGATGGAGCAGTTTCTCTGGAAATTGGGTGAAGAAAAACGTCCATTTCTCTATAACATTTATACACAAACCCATTTATAGGTTGTCTTTTAAGTGACTAAGAAACCAGGTGACATTTTTTTGCATTTTCATCTGCAGTCATCATGTTACACAGCACACTGCATTTGCCTAAGCCTTATCCAGCTCAGTGTTTGCCTCAGTGACCTTTCCCACACACAGCTTAGTGAATGAGGGTCAAGACGAAATGATACTGAATTACCGTAGCCTCTAAACCCAGAACCCAGTTTACCAACCAAGACTGCCTTCACATTTGCATTCACACCAACAAACCAAAACACAAACCATTTTGTGATCCAGTTTATAGTTCAGAAGTTTACAGTAATAAGGTGCAACATTACTGTTATGAGAACAGATAGGCCTGATCTGACTGTAACAGACTGTAACCTGTGTATACGGTTGTCACTTCCACAGCTGGGATCAGAGCAGCACGAGATATATCTAACTGCAGAACCACATAACCACACGTCACAGACAGCAGCTCCAGGCCAGCAGCCTCATACATGAAGTTAGGGTGGTGGCACTGATGATTGCATATCCTGCCTCAACCATACTCTTCACTTTAACTATATGCTTTATGTTAATGGCCAACCCCACCCCAACACTAAAGCTACCCTTAAAGGGACAGCCCTTAAAGGGGACTACTAACCCAAGTAGTAGGGGATGATTTACTAACCCAATGGCCGTTTCTGTTTTCCATCAAAGTGCATCCATCCATGATAAAAGTGCTCCAAAGCCTTCATGAACACTGGGCTGAGACTGCTGGCCTGGCACTGCTGCGGTGCAGTTGGTTATTACTGGTTGGCACAGCTGAGCTCATTCCAGTGCTGGATGAAATAATCTCATCTGATCCTCATTGACTCATACTGAGGAGGCTCGTGGAGGCCAGATTGAAGTGATTTACGCAACAATGTCTCGCCAATGGTTGGCTGTTGCGGATTTTGTTTTGTCTTAATCTTTGGGCAGATTAACCGACCGAACCAATTGTGTGCCTCCATGGGACTAATGTGTGAGGAACTTGTGAAATCAAAACACTGCAAACTTCTAGAGAAGATTATGTTGCTTTGGAGGAAGTATAGCGAATGTATGGGGTCTTTTGGAAATACTGTGCTGGTTAGCTATGCACATCCCAGTGACTGAAAGGTAAGTGTCACAGAACTTGACATTAGTGCTTGTGCTGTTAAGTTAACTGTCTTTGAATGCTTTATTGTTACGTTTCATTTGTGAGGACTAATTATAATGTTTCTGATTTAAACTGCAAATAAAAACCTAGTAACCAATGGTGTTTTTACAGTATGCTGTAGATCTGCAAAAAATTCTCACAGGGATGTATCATCAAACCAAAATGTATAATACAAACAAATTATTTTGTTTTATAAAATATTATAAAGTTATTAATATAATATAATAATTAATATTTAATAGGCTTTATATATATGTACATGATTTATTATATTATATTATGTATTGATTTTAAAATTGTATTAATTTATAATTATAATAAAGTATAATTTAATTCTATATACATTCTATAAATCTAAAACTAATATGTATATTATTAACTATATTATTATTATACAATATTATATAATTAATCATTAACATTTAAAATGGCACAAATTAAAATATATATACATATTATTCACATACACATATACACAACACAATGTTAGATGTGATTAATCATGATTAATCGATCTGACAGTACTACTACTACTAATAGTGTTACTATTTATTTAAAATTTAAACCATTAAAAGTATAGTAGTTGTAAATAATATAAAATAAATAATATAGTTTTATGATGTATATATATTAATTTGTTGTACCTATTTTATCTATTTTAAATTATTTACCATCTACAATTATTTTACATTTTAATTATAACAAAGATAATATAATAATTAATTACAATAAAATTATTACGATTTTGAGACTTTAAATAAATAAATAAATGCCTTGCAAGAGATAAGATGTAAATCCTTGTGCTCGTTCGTCATCAGTTGGCCCAATAAAATCCAATAAAGCATCCAATAAATCCCTCACACATCCCTCTCTGTCTTGCAAGTGTATTTTGTCCAAGCTAAAATTACCGGGTGACTTCTCGCTACAGGCAGGGCTGGGTCTGGGTCAGAGGAATGCACAAATAAGAAGGTCTATTATTTTTTATTTTTTTTTAGTCCTGCAGTTTATGCGTCCTTGGACTCAACAGTGCATGAAGTTCAAGACCCAGCCCATTGCTCTCTATTACATCTGGCTGTGCTTCAGAACTGGCCTCAAATCAGGGATTTATGTGCTTCCTGGAAGAAAAATAATCACGAATGATGTCCGAGTGACTTCTAATGGGTGTAGCTACGTCTAAAAAAAAATCAAACCAAATGCCAAAAGTCCTCTTAACGTGAAAGTCACGGAGGTTATTAAACATAAAGACGGGCACAAATCAGCGGGCGCGCGCTCACAATCAACAAAGGAAATTCCTTGGCAGCTGAACATGTGCCTGGAGACTCGAGAACTTCCTCTCGGCGTTTAAGAATTCTTCCATCTCCTTTCCACCCAAATTCAAGGGTAACATTACGGCCCTCCTGTTTGGGGGCGGGGCTACGGGAGTCCCTCAACCAATAGGAACGTTTTACAGGTCAGTTTCTCTCAAAGGTGGCCACGACGGTCTCCATAGCAACGTAGCAATCTTTCCACATCATGTAGTCCAGTTTTACAGTTGGTCTTTCTTCTGTAACGAGAGAGGAGTGAGTAAAGGTAGTTGTTTAGTAGGCCAAATTTGAAGTGGGAGTGTGTGCACACAGCACACACGAGCCTGCCCAAAACAGCTGGAGCGAGAGAGAGAGAGAGAGAGAGAGAGATAGAGAATGAGGGATTTGGGACGCTCAAAACTGAAAGCAAAGCAGAAACTAACGTTAGAGCAAGATGGAATTTGACTGGCCGCTTAAGTTTTTGCTGACTTCAGGTATCAGAATATGATTTTTAAAATCGTAAAAGTGGGGTTTAAAGGCGCATATGGCTGCTGTGGAAGATAGACAGCAGATGGACGAAGGAGGTAAGATGTTTGAAGAAGATATTTATTTGTTTTCTTTTCTTCTCAGCGAGTGCGATGACGTGATTCGTCAGATTTACTGTTCTCGTGATCTTTAAAGATGTTTGTGAAGATTTTGTGGCCACCTGTGTCTGTGACTGTGAGTCATTGCATTCGGATGGTATTTTGTTTTCTTTGAGCCCCAGTGTTAAATAAATGTCAGATGAGAGAAGTGGTCCCGCGCGAGATGATTGTTTTCATTCCTGGTCCGACACAGCTGACCCTCCGTGTGTTAGAGGTTCAACACCAGCAGGGAAATGATTTTACACTGCAGACGCAGAACATTGGAAATTGACCTGAGCACAAAGTGAGACTTAAAACATGAATTTTGAAATTTGCATGAATTGCATGAATTTTACTACTCACTCTTTTGAAATGGTCTCATTTCCTGTAGTTTTCTCATCTCCAAACTTTTTCCCCAACTGGAATGAAAAACAGCACACCGAAAGATCAAGATTTCCAGGCCTGGAAAAGTCGCTGAAAGTCACTGAAATTATCAAACTCCTAAAAAGTCTATCTATCTACCTGTCTGTCTGTCTGTCTGTCTTTTTTTACTCCAAGATATTTAATTGGCTCTTTAAATTGCTCTTTGTGGCATAGTAATTATAATAATATTTAGGTGTTCAGGCACGAAGTGCTGAAAACCTATTGTATTTGCTCGAAAGAAAAAAAAAATCCCCTAAAACGCATCGTGCAGGCCAAACCGTAAGGGCTGGAGCTCTGAAACTTTGTCAGATGGTAGGGCCTCAAATTGTGGAGAAGCTATCAGAGTATGAGGCCGATTGGCCCATAGGTGGCGCTACAGCAACCAAAAGTACTAAATTGCTCATAACTCCAAGACCGTTTGACTTAGCTTCAATGTTTTTACACCACTGTAATCCCTGGCTCAAGACGGACAAGATGTATATATCTCGGATTTGTATATCTCAAAGCTATCAGAGTACGAGGTGCATAGGTGCATAGGTGGATAGGTGGCGCTACAGCAACCAAAGTTCCTCCGCAAAGTTCCGCGAGGATCGGATTATAGGTGGCCAATGAGTGGTGTTGTACTGCCCACTGCTTTTTAAATTATTTTTTTTTCATAATACTCAACTATAATTCATAGTATAACTTTATCAATTCAATCTTTTAACATTTACAACCACATTTAGTAAAAAATGACTATTATCCTGAAGTTGAAAATGAGTGTGTGAACTAAACTGTAGTAAATCATATTTTAACATATTAAATTATGATAAATCATATTGGAACATGGTTAATTATGTAATATCAAGCTGAAATGTAGTATATCATGATAAATCATGCCTGCTACATACAAATTAATGTCTTTTGATGCTTTTGTGCTTAAATGCCTTAAAGACCTGAACACCGATAAATGCTGCTTGCAGCTTTAATTATTATTATAATTTCATTTATTTATTTATTTAAAAAAGGTCATGACTGGAAAGTTATACTTTTTTTATCATGCACTTTGATACTATATATTTGTCGCTCATAACTATAACGACTTTTACACTTTAATCATAATTTGTGAAAGGTGACATATGAACGGGTTTGTTAGTGTTTTAAAAAGCTAATAAGTGAATTCTTTAGAATGTTCTTTCTTATCTTGTGTGTGTGTGTGTTTTCAGACAGAATAAAGTCTTATGTATCCAAACGCCCAGTACCTGGAGCAACGGGAGCGAGTCCTAATTAAATTAAATTAACCTCCCAGAAAACTCACTCGTTTGTAAACGTACCACAGAGGGAACTTGCTTTTCCATCCTGGTCCTAAATAATGGCTATCAGATGTCAAGTGCATGTCTCTAACACCTGAACACCTTAATTAGGTTTATTAATTAAAAGTTAAGAGTGTTCAGATTTTTGTTTGACAACGTTGTGTTTTGTTAAATGACAATTGGAGGTTTAAAAGCAGGATAGTGCTGTTAAGCCTATAGGCTAGTCTACAAGCCCTTTATTATTCTCAGAACAGGTTAATGTGTTTGTATTGGTTACTTACTGGCGAAACTTGTTCTACATCAGTGGCGTTAGTAGTTAGAAGAGAAATTAAAACTTACGTGACTCACTAAAATATTAATTATTACTTTCCCTCAGCCTTAAGAAAATCCCGTTTTAATCCCACAATGACATACTGGCAGTTGTTTGTGACATTTTAGATTTTTCAGATAGTGTGGTCAAGCCTTGGATAAAGCTGTTTGGAAAGAATGAAAGATGTGAAATTCTTTTTGTCGACAAAGTGATTTGTCAAAAATTCAGTTGAATGAAGAATGTGCTTTCCACTAGTTTGAGGACAATTCAAACCTCTGTGGTTACTAATGGCTTTAAAAAGACAGTACACACAATTTCCCTCAGTTCATGCAAAATGTCAAAAACTAAAAAAATGCATATGCTTAAACTGAATCCTTCGCACTGAAAATCATATAATGATTATATTTGTCTTGTTAAATTTAAAAATATGTAAACTTCATAGAGAAAAGATACATTGACTTGAGAAGCAATACCGACTTGTTTTACTTTCTTAATATATATATATATATATATATACACACACATACACACACACACACAAAATACTTTTATTTCATAAAATAAGATTTTATTTAAGTATGTAGCCTAAACATTCTCCAACCATGCATATGGACGTTTTTCCGAACAAATTATGACTCACCAAAAACTTTGAATGAAAGAAATGAAAGAGTTTCATTCTCTAACCATGCGTATGGACGTTTTTACGAACAAATTATGACTCACCAAAAACTTTCAAAAGGCTGAAAAGGAAAGATTTTGCAGAAAGCCTTTATATGGAGATGATTTGTCTGTGTTTTGTGCAAATTACTAACCTCATGCCATTACTACAACTTTAAGGCCAATTTATACTTCTGCGAAGGGTTTGCGCAGTTGGTACGGCGTACCATACGCACAGACGCGTACCATACCGCGTACCCTTCGCCGTAGCCTGACGTGCACCTCCTCAAAAATTTAACTACACGTCGCGACGACGCAGACCGCAAGATCTGTGATTGGTCGGCTTTGTAGCGTCGCATTTCCTCCTACGCATTTCCGCACGTACCATCTCCGACATCTTCTCTCATTTCTGCCTTATAGTTTTAGTAATTTCACTAAAATTAACTGTTTTTCCACCTCAATAAGCTCCAACTCCAACATGATTCGCTCTCTTTCAGTCGCCATTGCTTGTAGTAACCTAGCCGCGAGGAATCTAAACACAGTGGAATATTAAAACCCTCCGCCGCCAACTAGCGTTTCGGAGCAGTACAGCAGAGCAACCAAGACCAGAATGCAGAAGTATAAATGCTCACGACATACACTACAGCGTACCCTCGACGCTGAAGTATAAATTGGCCTTTAGAACGGCTCAACTTTTGTGAAATAGGCAGACATTTTTTGTGAGAAGTTCTCCTGTGTACTACAGATATTAATAATCCACGCAATTATTAGTTAATAATTCTCTCTTGTTCTTGTTTCTTTTCATTCCCCTCAGCCACCAACATGTTCCACTGACTCTCTGATTCACCATGGAGGAAGCAGTGACATCTGAGGATGCTGAATCCCTGCCTTCCGCCTCCCAAAACTCTGACATCCACCTCAGAGAGCCAGAGGATGGGTGTCCTTCTGACACTAGCCCAGAGCCCAGCTCCCCGTCCTCACCTTCACATCAGCAAACTCAAGGCTCTGCCGTATCTGCGCTGCAGTCCAAGGTCAAGGCTCTCTCTGAGCGCAGCAGAGTTGCCTGGAAAGAACCTGAAAGTAAGAACCAGGACAAGAAGGTGATTCCTGGGACTTTCATGCTTGGATATGCCCTCACTGATGCTTGGGCCTCCAGCAGCAGCGATGAAGAAGGGGAACCTCGCAAGCCCCTGATGTTCCTCACAGGAGACCCTAAGCCTCAGGTAGAACTCGACCATAATCCCATCTCTTCCGAAGTGTTGCTGACAGTTCCCCGTGGCCTTGGAGAAGGAGCAAGTCTGGAGAACCTCTCGAACGATGTTTGCGGTACTCAGGACGGTGCTTCCCTATCCGATAATCCTTGGATGCCACCAAAGTATTTCTGGAGGTCCATTAGGCCGGAGTTGCCACTTCCAAACGGGGATGTTCCTGTTGGGAAAGACGGACCAAATGGATTGCCATGGGCCCTTGGCTCCAAAATGGGCCACAAGTTTCCAAGGGAACTCCAAAGGTCTGACAGCCTGGAGAGTCACCTACGCAGGTACAATCATGACGAGGTGGGACAAAAAGGACTCTGGCGGGCCGACAGCTTAGAGAGCATGTGCAGCAGTGAAGGCACGCTGTCTCTGGCCGAGAGGGTCGAGATGAACCGTGGCCTTCTCAAACAGATGCTGCAGAAAACCCAGAACAAAGACCATGTGCCAGGACAGAGGCTGGAGGACCTGATGCATATTGGTGGTAGAGGTAAGGAGACATGTCTCAGTGACAGGGTGCAATTCATTTTGTATTAATTTCTTCAAAAATATGTTAAAAATGCAATTCAGACACGCAGACATGACTTTAACAAACCTCTTCTGTGATTGGTTCTTTATTTCTGAATTAAAATACCCTATATATTAGAGCCCGACCGATAAATGATTTTGAAGGCCAATCCCGATACAAATATTTGTTGGTTTTAAAATCCGATATTTCGATATATCGGCCGATATTTTTATTTATTTTTTCAGAAACGCGCAACAAAACATTAACAGATTTCCCTAACATTAGTTATTTGTAGTTATTTATGAGTTTTAACTAAAATAATATGATAATGCATTTTAAAAAGAAACAGAACAGACTGATGATAGTGGCTTTGTGGTTAGCTAGTCTATGATGAGCCATAATTTAGCAATGGATTGCGTCATACTGCAAATTTTAAAACATACATTTTCAATATAACAGGCCAAGGAGAGATGATACGTCTCATTGCTATAACTGTCACACGCTATTAAAGAAATACTTCAGTCACATTGTCAAAAGTTAAAAGGACAGTCAGTCAACTACACTGTAACAAAGTAACGTAACTATTACTAGCTAATTCCGCTTCACTCTCGGTTTATTTAACAGCAGCAAAACTGGACATGATAGTCACAAATTTTGTCATGCTTATTTGAGTTAAGAGAACTGATGCAGATGTTCTTTTAATTGTTATTTAAGCAATGTATGTCTCGTGACCAACTCAACGAGTGTTGCCAACAGGGACTGTTGAGTGCCCTCTGTTGGACAAACTATCCAACTCCAACACTGATGACATGGCTCAAGCGTGTTTCGTCCGTTTATATTTTATTTTTGAAATATTCATTTATCGGCCAGTATAACTGCCAATACCGATAGTTTGGAAAATGCCTAATATCGGCCGATAATATCGACCTGCCGATATATCGATCTTGCTCTACTATATATATTTTAAAATAGAAATTGTCAGGTTGATAACTACTGTCCTGAAATCATAATGAAGAAAAATGAATAATAATGAAATGTATTTATTATTTATTACTTATTAAAAAATAACAACACTGATTGACTGTCGTTGCTTAATAATCGACAAATCAGTCATGAGGTCCAACCAACAAAAAAAAAAAAAAAAAATTCAGCTCAAGTCTGTTATAAATGAGAACATTATAATTGTTCGCTTGGGACATGGATTTTAATGGTGAGACTTTTGTTTTTGTTTTGATTTAGATTTATCGGCTAATATATTGGTTATTGCCTTTCAAATATAATGAATTATCGGTTATCGGTATTGACCAAAATGCTCATTTCAGTGCATTCCTAATTAAATATGAAGCAATATATGATATTTAAAATCATGATATTTAAAAATAGCAATAAATCATGATATTCATTTCATATTGAAATGAATATGAATAATTGATAAATGAGAAATGAATAATTCAATATTCATTTCATATTGAAATGAATAGGGTTTCAAACTCAGCTGGGTTGTTTCCGGAAGCTAAGATGTAATCAGCCTTATCCGATGTAATGTAATGTGCGATATAATGCAGGGTTAATCCAAGGCTATCAGACAGGTGTCAAATGCCGTTAGCGCATGTCTGATGAGCACGTTTACGGATTACACGCAACAGGCGCACATGACCTCTCTAATGAAGCAGAGGTCATATAGACTAGAGAGCTGGATAATCCAGATATGAGAGGACAGAAGGATAAGAATGAGAATTACACTGATTAAAAACAACTTACTGTGATAAAGGGAAAAACAAAGACGCTTCACTTTTTCTCACTTTCGTAGCACCAGACGTTGGCAGACAAGATGACCTTCTCATGTCAAGAGAGATAAACAGCTGGCTTTTAGCAGTTCACTCAACTTATTGATATCAAGCCAAAAATAATTATGGATGTCAAACCCCCTGTAATTAGAATGTCTCTGTATCAGTTTCTACAGATATATGTGTCCTGAATGACAGTGATTGGGATTCTGGGATATCGCTCCAAGGTAGTGAACACAGCCAAAGGTGGGCAGCACATATTGATGCTCTCACATTATTCTCACACACCATGTATATTTAGCTTTTCACAGTACTGATTAGAGATTTATTATTTCACTTACCTGAGACTCTTCGAAGTAGTTTTTCTTAATTTCTCCCCGAAAACCCAGCATCTGGATATCTCTAAATATTGAACATTCAAGAAAGGGGAATGTGAGCTCAGGAGAAAACAGCTGCTGAAGTTTTTCATAAGCAGAGGAACGAGATCATATCATTGGCTTTTCCTGCCTCTCCTTCAAACTCCACCTAAAAGTTGAATAACAATGGAAATAGTTCAGCCATTTTCTTCAAGCTAATAAAAATTATTATATATATATATATATATATATATATTTCCCTCATATATATATATATGAAGAGTTCAGATGCAAAAGCCTCTAAGTGCCATTTGAAATTTTCTTCTAGAATGATCATTTTTATCAAGCTTGTAGATTTAAGTTCAGTGATTTCACTTAAATGGCAATGATAGTTACCTATGAATTGTTATTTAAGTGAAATAACTGAACTTAAATATACAAGTTTGATAAAAATCATTATTCAAGAAGAAAATTTCAAATGGCATTTAGAGGCTTTTGCATCTGAACTCTTCATATATACATGTATATATATATATATATATATATATGAAGAGTTCAGATGCAAAAGCCTCTAAGTGCCATTTGAAATTTTCTTCTAGAATGATAATTTTTATCAAGCTTGTATATTTAAGTTCAGTAATTTCACTTAAATTGCAATGAAGATTACATATTAATTGTAATTTAAGTGAAATTACTGAACTTCAATATACAAGCTTGATGATAAAAATTATCATTCTAGAAGAAAATTTCAAATGGCACTTAGAGGGTTTTGCATCTGAACTCTTCATATATATATATATATATATATATTAAAAGAGGGGAAACATCAAAACTGTGTTGAAAATAAATAACAGACATATTTACATTATAGGAGAAAATTAATAGTATAAGCAGCGTGATATTTGAACTTATGATAAGGCCAAATTTAAAGTGAATGAAAATTCTATGTAACCCATTCGAATGATATTTTTTACATTACACAAACAAATTTAATGCTATTTAAATAATACGACTAAGTTAAATTTCATTTTAATTATATCAGTAGTAACTCCTGAGGTATACCAGTCCCTGAGAAAGACATTTCACAAACACTTTTATATTTTGTTAAATATATAAGTTTATGTTTAATATATGTTTAATAAGTTTAATGTATGTTTTTAGTTTAAAAAAATCCTTTGAATTAAATATAAAAAAACAAAAACAAATAAATAAATAGTATTTTTTTCTTGGATTTAAAAAAATAAATGAGTGAATCAGTGACAGGCAAATTAGAAACTTGGCTGATTATTTAAAAAAAAGTATTTTACATTACACACAAAACAGAGTTTATGTTATTAAATAATGAGTTCAGTTTCCTTTGAATTACATCAGTAGTAAGTCCTGAGGCACACCAGCTCCTGAGAATGACCCATACATTCTGATTTATGTCTTTTTATAACTTGGTATGGCCATATTTCTATTTTAGAGTAATATTCAAGCCTTTGATCATGTAAACATATGCATTAGCCCATCAAGCGCATCATAATCAGGTACAAACCCAACACACACTCAACAACCGTCAGCCTAATTAGTGATGACGGCCTGCTCCACTTAATCCCCCCCCACACCGCACAGGAGCTGACGTGTTTCTTTCTCTCTGTGTCTCTCTGGCCGGCCCACAGGGCCTTTGTGTTGGGCGACAACCTTCCGCTGAGCCCTCGCCACGAGCAGGCCAAACGACTGCTAGAGAGAGCGCGTATGAAGGCCCGGTCCAACCCTCTCAAAGCCGACCACACCATCCTACCCGTCCAGAGGGACAACCCGTAAGTTTCTACGCTCTCTTTTTCCCTAGTTTTCGGATTGTTGGGGTTTCTGCTGGGGGGGTTGGGGTTTAGAGGCTTAGGCATCATGGGAAGGGAGGGTGTTTACATGGCTCTCTTCATATCAAAACAAGGAAACCTTCGCCTGCTCACACTTGAGGGTCTGTGTGGGGGATGTAGATCTTAAACTGTAGTATTGGGGGCTGGACCGACTTGTCTTTTGCTCCGTTTGGAGTCCGGCAGCTGATAAAAGGGAAGGGGGGAAGTGTTTGGCAAATCTCTTTTCAGAAGCAACAGGTGCTGCTCTCTATTTCGGTCTGGCCTTTTAATATAGCATTTTTAAATAAGGGTTTCTTCTACGTATTTGTTTGAAACTGACATAAAAGCATCATATAATAATATAACCAAGACGCCAATTTAATCAGTGAAACAGCATGAAGCTAATAGTAGCCTGAATTTAAACTTCTAAACTAACTAGTGTCCTCCTTCAAACTCTTCTTCTCTGTTTCTGCCGGGCACGTGTTATATAAGACAACCTGAATTATACAACGTGTACACACGTCTGGTGCCTCTAAATCCCACTTCCCCATCCAGCGCTCTGTTCTCTACCTCAGCACTTTCACACAAAGACAGATGGGCGAGCCGCCCCAAACGCCTGTCTCCTTGTTTGGTATGAAGACAAGCGGTGCATGGCAGCATCCGGAACAGATTAAGGCAATTTTAAACGTCACAACAAAAACTGACGCGCACTGAGGAAAGAGGAATAATATGTTTTTTAAAAACATTAACAATATGTTAACATATATATTACGTTTTTTTAAACAAATATAAGTAATATTAAATTCATGATAATTATTACATTTTCAGCACTGTGCTTTTAGTTGTTGTTTTTTCATTATAAATATAAAAATAAAAATATAAATTATATATCCTTTTTCTGGCTTTGGATTTAAACAAATAATGGTGAATTAGTGACTGACAGAAAAATCTCTTTTTTATTTATTTAAACGGGAGCTCTGCTTTGCTGTACTGCTCCGCTACACCTGTCATGTCTGCCAGCTGTTACTTTCCTTCTCCCTAATTCCCTCCCTGCCTCTCCCTTATGGGGAAAACAGCTCGGTGATGTTGATTACACTGCTGTCGGTTTTGCTCGGGTTAAACTTACCACTTAACTGCCTCTCTTGAGATTGAATGTTTAAGACAAACTCACAGCTGTAAAAAGTCCCATAGGTTTCAGAACAGTGCTCAATGCTTAACAGACATGAAAAGTCCCAGTGCACAATAATACCGGTACACTATTAGATTTCTATTCCTTAGCAAACACGGAATATTGAAAGACACTTGTTTTGGTCCTCTTATATCTAACAAAGACCTGATGAATGATGATATTGAAATGTCTGATGTGTTGAAGACGACCTTCCTAAAAGGAGTAAAAAGCACGTCAGGAATGCGCACAGACGAGCCAAAGCAGAGGGAAAATTTCCTCAGGAATTTGCCCATGTCTCCATGCTGGGAGATAGACTGCAGGCCACTTTGGCATGCATCCATTTCTTTGTGTATCTAAGTGCACAGGAATGCAACTAATTTCATATATGTGCATGTGTGTACAGGGAGCTGCTCTCCTGGGTTGGTGTACCCTTACACCAGGCTCCTCTTGCCGGGAAGGAGGGCGTGGCGGTGGTCTCTGGAAACCTCAGTGACTCCTCTAGCGGCGACTCACTTGGTGGCACCCGGCGGAGGCACGGCCAGTCCCCAACTCGCGTGCGTTTCGAAGACGAATCCGAGAAGGATGCCGAGGTGCGCTACCTGGAGCGGCTACGCCAGCGACGCAGGGCTGGAGAAAGAGCACAGGGCCTGCTGGTGTCCAAACCCAGCTTGTCGTCTTACATCAATGGAAAGGCGGAGACGGGACATGGCTCGAAGGATTCAATATTCTGGAAGACAAAAGCCAAGAAGAGTTTGTTAAATGGCAAAGGTTCGGAGACAGCAAACAGGCAGTGCAACTCATGTGGGACCTTTCTAAATGAACCCCATGATCCTAGCTTGAACTCAAATTCTCTGTCCGTACCTAACGGGGAAGTAGAAGGGAAAAAGGTACCATGTTGGGTTGCTCCCACACTTCCCAACCGGCTAGTCCGGATCGAACAGATTAAGGAGACGTACATTGGGACGAGTCCTGCTATTGTCCACAGCGATGGAACGCATTGCAGTCCTGCGGATAATGTGAGCAGTAGAGGAACCTTCCAGAAGCTGAAGAAGAAGGTCCGAAAACTGGAGAGTAAGCAGGAACCCTTGTACGTCAATGGCCTTAGGGTTCCGACACCTCCGGACTGCAACAAACTCACACCCAACGGGACTCAAATGTGTCTCTCGAATGGAGTAGCATTGCCATTCAACCCCTACGCCACTGATTTACTTGGACAGAGAATACCAGCCACATGCAGCCCTACATCCAGCAAAGGGATTGTGGCACCTCCGTTGCCTCCAAAAGGAGAACCGCCAAGTTCCCACCTTCCCCACCAAACCCCTCCTCCTCTCCAACCGAAAAAATCTGCCCTGAAGTCCAGCTCCAAAGACCGCTCTAATGGTCGACGGACCGTCACACTCATGTCTTCGCCAGAGTATCTGGACTCCACAGAGGCAGGGGGCATTGTGCAGGAGCAGACTCCCTCTGGGTTGGGTTACTGGGAGGACAGATCTGTCATGGTCACCCCTGGACCCTTACTCAAGACAAGTCCGGTTCTGTGTGCTCGAAACCTACCCATACAAGGGGAGGAGAGGTCTACAGGTTAGTTTAACTACATGGGCTAGGGGTACCAGGGGTGTCTAAACATGCTTCTGGAGGGCCAATGTCCTGCAGAATTTAACTCTAGCAAGTCCAAACGGGCTTTCGCATCGTAGGAACAATTTTAGTTCTAGGAACTTTTGGAGGAACTAATTTAGCTCGTACTTCAGATCAGGGTCTAAACCAGCACCTATAGGAACTACCAGTGACGTTAGAGTCTGCTGATTGGCCGAATGCTCGCTAAACACCAAAATAAACCGTCAAAATAAAAGTCACTACAACAAGCGTGGCTTACGTCACTTCAGAGTTCATACTGGCGGTGCGAATGCAACCAGTAAATGTTCCCAAGGGAACCGTTAGTTCTCAGGGAGGCTAGTTTATAGCCGATGCGAAAGCCCCCCCATCATAACTGCCTGCTTGGAAGTTTCTAGATGGTTCAGGTGTGTTTAATTGGGGTTAAATCTAAAGTCTGCAAGACAGTGGCTCTCCTGGAGCAGTATTAGACACCCCTGCCATACACATCCAAAGAAAACCCCCCAAAAGTAACATTGAGGAAGTGCCATGTTTAGGGGAACAATCATTTTCACCCTTTGACAGACTCAAACCTGCAACCTTCTGGTTACTAGCACTGAGCTTTATCCATTTTTTTTCCAGAAAAATACTTTATAGCATGAAGTCTACAATTAATAAACTACTAATAGCACTAGCTGAAATAGATCTAATAATTTTTTACTACATATCTGAGCTTCACGCCAAAAAGGATAAAGCCAATATTGCAGATGCACGCTTGTGTAACGTACTCTAAAAATGAATCAAAGCTTTTCCCAGTATGAAGTGGCAATTCCAGGTAGACATGTGAGCTCTGCTCCAGTCGGTCAGGTGTCACCTTTGGGTGTGTGCGCTTCTCTTCACTGTGTTCCTGTCCCGTTGGGGATTGTCCAGATCAGCAGATCCATACTGTCCTAGCTGAGTAATCCCACAGTGGGCCAGTTGCTTGTACGATCAGTCTTTTTCCACCCCCTTCAACAGTTTTCCATCTTGTGTGATGCTACTTGAAAATGTGTTCTGACACGTACGTTTCTGTAACGTGAGATGATTTACTGTTATATTGTTATAAATAACAATTCAGTTTACACAGTATCATTGTAATATTTAATAATTTACACAGAATATTTCATCCATCGTCCTTTGATGATATGTACTGCCACTTTTTCTATTCTTACTCAGATGTGGAACAACACCACACTACAGGACAACTAGGATCTGACGCAACATCCAGCAGTGCTGAATCAACCCAGACTCATCTCACCGATGGACACGTCAGAGGGCCAATCAGACCAGTGCATCTCAGGGCAACTAGCCCAAACTTTTCCCAGTGAGTAAAGAGGGAAAGAAAGAGGCAGAAATTATGAGAATCACCCCTATGCCCTTACTTAGGCTACGGCTACATCTCTTTTCTGTAATCCCCTTTTTTGGTTAGGACTTTATCAAACTGGATTCTTTACTAAAATGTTCAATCCTTTCGCTGAACAATTTAATTTCCGGGGCAACAATCATACAGATTGCTTTGCCAATTCATGCTCAAAGTAGGTCATGAGAGATGTGGTCCAGACTTACCATGTTTGTCTACTACAAAACTGCCACCTACTGACTGAGAATTACAATTGCATAAACATTTATCCAGACATTACAAAACCAAAGTTTACATATATGTATACATAACTTGTTTTTTAGAGCGGGGATGGATGCGGAGCATCGGGAGGGTCGACCCAAACTCTCCCTGCGGCGGTTCTTCTCTGCCATGGGGCTGAACAGTGTGGGGTTGCTGGGAAAGGGACGATCCAGCAGCATGGATCAGCTCAGCCTGCACCACAAACCCAACTCAAACTCGAACCAAAACCTTCGGCCATCATCACCCTCCACCTCCCCCAGCCCCACACACAGACACCACCACCAGCTAAAGAAAGCCCCCTCACTGCAGACTATATGTCTGGTTAGCATCTTGTTTTATTATATGACAACCTGTAGAAGTCCCTCAAAAAAAACATCTGTAACTTTTTTAAAGAAATAAAATGTTTCTTATAAATAGATATTAATTACAATTGAAGAATGATAATTTAGTGATTGGCACTGACTGTATCATTTCTCACCACTAGGGGTCTCCGTTTCTCCAGCTGAGGAGATCTTCATCGGCTCAAAATCTCCAAATACCCAAGATGAAATCAGACCGCTCCTCTGCATACACTCCAGGAGAACAGCCCTGTAGCCCTGTATTAAACAGGTATAACATGTACACAATATACTAACACACTAATATGAAGCATCACTTTAAATGACACCAAACAATATAAAATATAATATTATAATTAGGACTGTCAACCAATTAATCGCATCCAAAATGTGTGCGTGTACTGTGTATAATTATTTTGTATACAAATACACACACATGCATGTATATATTTAAAAAAATATTTGCATGTATATACTTTATACATATTTATACAAAATTAATATTACACATAAATATAAATATTTGATATATTAATAACACATTTTTCTTAAATATATACATGCATATGTGTGTATGTATATATAAAAAATAATTATACACAGTACACACACATATATTATGTAAACACAAACTTTTATTTTGGATGCGATTAATCTTGACAGCCGTAATTATAATGTAAAAAAAAAAAAAAGTTAATATCTAATATAATATTGTAATTCTCGAGACATGACTATTGCAAGTTTTGTTTACATTATTTAAAAAATATGAGGGGTGATAATGCAATATATAAAATTTTATTTTAAACAATAATACTATATTATATAATTATAACAAATATAAATATATATATATATATATATATATATATATAAAATATATAGTTATTTTATAATATTTATTATATACATTTTATAATATATTTTATATTATAATATCCATTTAATATTAATATTATAATAATACTACTACTACAATATTTAAACATATAATATATGAATATATACTTAATATAATTTCTTTAGAATTTACAATTTTTGTAATAAATAATTCCATAATAATTTACAAAAACATAATCTGATACCATCCCCATAATATTTTGTAAGCATTATTTCATAACATGTACACCGCTTGGTTTTATTAAATCATCCCATTTACCTCTTTGTAACATTGTAGTGTAATGAACGATGGCAATTTCAAGCATGACATGTTCTGCGGAGCATGCATCGTGTTCTTGTAATGTTCAGACAGCTGTCGTGTTGTGCAAAAGGATTAGTATTTTCCATTGACTGGGTCAGCAGCAGCAATAAAAAGAGGGAGGGAGGAAGGATAAAAATAGAGGTGTGCGTTTGCCAAAGAAAGACATGGAATCCCGGGAATGATCACCTGTCTACATGCTGCTGCTATATTCAGCCTCTTGCGTGTATTACTAGACGCTGCCCTTTAAGTGTGTTTGGGTTGTTCACAGTGCCAGATACAGTGTGTTTGTCAGCGGCGCTGTGATTCGATAGTGCCTGTGAGCATGTGTGGTGTTTACGAGCGTGTGAATGTATGTCTAAGGGAAGGAGAGATAGCCAGAGAGGAAATTCCAGCCTTAGTGACTGGAGCTGAGCTGCAGCTTACATCATCTTGCTTGAGAGCCAGCGAGGATAGATCTGTTCTGGTTGTATCTTGTTTATTCAGCCTTCACAGTTGAAAATACATGGGATTCTTTGGAAGTATTCATGGAATACAGCCCAATGTTTGATAAGGGTGTCAAAAAAAAAAGGTTAAATTATAAATATGATTATCAAAAATAATTATGTATTTAAAATATTTAATATATTATTTGAAAATATAAAATGACATATTTACATATATACATATATTTATATAAATAACCCTAAATTCTGGCAGTTAAATACTTTTCCATTTCATAGGTCGTTTTAGGTGGATAAATCTGTGTGTGTTTTAGGGGTCTTGACCGTGCCTTGAGTGTGGAGGACGTGGGGCGGCCCAGTGGGGTGCGCCCGGTGGGACGCGTGGCTCAGGCCTTCCCTGACGGCACCATCTTACTGGAGCTCTCCAGACCCCCCAACGGCCCCTTCGGCTTTGTCATTGCACGAGGAAAAGGCAGGCCAGACTCAGGTGAGTGACCTCTCGCTCTCGTTTTCATGCCCTTCTGACGCAGTCGAAACGTTTAAGACTAACTCGCTTTATGTTTAAGGGGTGTACGTTGAAGAAATGGGCGACAGCAATATGGAGAAACTCTACGCGGGGCTGCTCGGGGTCGGGGACGAGATCTTAGAGGTGAACGGCGAGAAGGTGGCGGGACATAGTCTGGACCTGGTGACCCGTTTAATGACTCAAAACAGTACGGCTTCAATCCGCGTACTACGACATAGACGCCTACAGCGCTAACTGAAGACCAAACTGAGCCAGAATGACTCCGATGGCGTTTTGTTTCAATCGAACACTGTGTTAAAGAGCGTCAGAAATGAAGTCAGGGATGAGTTTGTGTAAACGGCAGACCTTTGGTGTTTTTTTTTTTTGGGCTGTTGAGCAATGATGGTGTGACGGTCCATTTTATAGGGATGGTTACCCAAAAATGAAGTGTTTTTTCATGTATTTTGTTCATTTTTGGGGCAAACTCATCCCTAAAGCGTCTGTTATGGCTAATTTACAGTGGTACCTCAAAAAAATACCATATTCAGTCACATTCATTGGATCGTTGTTTCCTATCAGAATGGTACTATTGAATTGTATCGTGACAGTATATTATATTATATCTGTGGCACAAATTATGTATGAAGGACTGCAAGTTAAACTCAAGTATTATTGTAATGAAGGACAGTCTAAACGTGTTTGCCAAAAAAGACCAATGAACGTTAATGTTTATTCTTCTTCTGAACATTTTGTTTCATTCAAAGCCTCCGTCGTTTTCGCATTCAGACTGTCGGTTCTAATACAAAACCTTCTCCATGCTGCTAACAAGTATATTGCACACGGTCAAAAAAAGGCTTATACGCTCTGTTAGAACTCAGTGCACACGCTGCAGTCGCATTGATCATCAGCTCTAAATGCTCTTTAGTAAAGTGATTCGATATTTCTCTATGAGGCAGCGCATTGGTATGCCTCTACAGTGCAACCTGACACCATTAGCGTGCTGTCCTGAAGGATATCAGTGTTATGGTACGTGCTGCGCAAAAAGCTACCAACCTAATGTATTTTGTTACATTTATTTATTTGTGTTCCTATGAAATAAAACAACTGGCTTTTGTGGGACAGCTTGTTTTTTTTTTTTCTCCTTCATACACTGTTAGTATTTTAGCAGTACCATAAACGTTAAAATCATTGTTTGTCACTCGAGGGGCAAGTGGAAATTAAAGGGATAGTTCACTTTGAAATTAATTTTTGATATGTTTTAGCTTACCTCAAGGGCATCCAAGATGTAGGTGTCTGTTTCCACAGTATTTTCAATTTTGATATTCGTTCGTGTCTATCAGTCATATAATGGAGGTCTATGGGGTCCACCTCAAAGAGCATGCACAGAGAAGTCCAAATTAAATATGATTTAATGACTCGTAAATGTAAGTACACATTGATGGCCTAAAACACAGAAAATGAACAGTATTTATAGCGTTTTTACCTCTTGTAACCACAGCCACGTCCAAGTGATCTGGGGGCGAGGACGCTTCGGTCTGCGCAAGCGCCGGATTTGCAGGAAAACTCATTATTTACACAGAGATTTCGGAAGTGTTACCCTTCACTGTGAAGATCTAAACTAGATATACAGGAAATCGTAATGGAAGACAATTTCAATATATCAACAGACAATGTTGAATTTTTTTTCGCAACCACGCGAGAGATCACTTCCGGTGCTTTCCGACGCTTGCGCAGACCGAAGTGCCCGCGGCCTCAGATCACTTGGACGTGGCTGTGGTTACAAGAGGTAAAAACGATATAAATACTGTTCGTTTTCTCACACAAACCACTCGTTTCTTGTCTTAGGCCATCAATGTGTACTTACATTTACAAGTTATTAAATCATGTTTAATTTGGACTCTGTGCATGCTCTTTGAGGTGGTGACCATAGACCTCCATTATATGACTGATAGACAAGAACGGTTTGACCTAAAAATCTCAAAATTGAAACTACTGTGGAAACAAAGACACCTACATCTTGGATGCCCTTGAGGTAAGCTAAAACATATCAAAAATTAATTTCAAAGTGAACTATCCCTTTAACTTTTGTGGTCCAAATTCTGTGGAACTTGTACTGAACAAGAAAAGTCAACATGAAACGGAAGTTGCGATAGTCTTTTCTTCACTATTGTGATCTATATCTGAGTGAAAGGGCTACTCGAACAAGACAAAATGTTGGGCGGGACTTTTGTCCATTGGGAATTGATTGGATGGTTGTGGATTGCGATTGGTTAATCTCATGTGAGTGACAGGTTGTCCTACCCTCACACCAGTAAACGTCATCAGAGAAGAGAAATCGCTACAAGAGGGAGGGGAAGTTATTTGGATAAAAGATTACGAGGGCATAACAAATTTATAATGAATACTGCAATATTCCATACAAAAAACAAGAATTGTCAAAAAACAAAACAAGAATTGTTCATTTTGATTTCACGGTAACTTAAAGGGCACTCTTTCTTTTCATTAAACGCTGCTTTGCCATTCTATTTTCCGATGTAAACCTGATGTCGGTGTGTGCTTTAAGATAACGCTATTATATTATTCGCATATGATATTCGCATTTTATTCGCACATTTGTGTATAATAACAAGTGTTTTAGAAACGTGGGGCTCAAGTTGAAGTAAGTTCAACCTTTAAGAAAAACAATGGAAAAGTAGAGCAGTGCGATGGAAAAGGACTGGTTCACACAGAACACGTTTGCTGTTAAATCCTTCCATGACATTGACGAAAACTTTGTCATTTGTGACGCCACGCTTGCCTGCCATTGACAAAAAAATGGTACTCACTGCAGGGGGTGGAGCAATAGATTTGTGGGTAGGGTTAGGGTGTGGTTGGATACTCTAGCTCCACTCATTAGGCCCAAATTAAATTCGCTTCTTCACGCTGGAGCTCTAGCGAGGAGGAGGAGCTACACGTAAGCCCCACCCATTTACTCTGCAATGTGATCGGCCGCGTAGAGGGTCTTGGTTCCTCCAGCTGTCAGGTGTGGAGGCTGGTCAATATCTCGCCTGTCCTTCCTTATTGATTAGACAATGATTGATTCCATCCTGGTCACCGACATTCATCACACACACACACGAAAAAACAAAGAACATGCATTTAGATTTACAGAAGAAATGACATGTGCTTTGAAATGTGTTCCAAGTGTATTCTGGGTGGTCAAAAGATAATCGTATTCTGTTCCCTAGATACATTTTTCTGTTTTATTGTAAACGCTTATAAAAGTAATAACAACCCTCTTCTAAACAAGCGTCACAAACTCATTACATGCATTTATAGGCTTCACTTTTAAGCAATTATACCCTTCATTAGCCAATATTCATAGCTGTGTCACTGATAACTGTAAGATTGTCCATGACAGCTGTGTAAAAGGACTCTGGGTAGATTTACAGGCGTTCTACACACCCTTCTAAACATGATCGCTGCTTTCAAGTGCAGGTTTGTGTTGTGTGTAGCGATGCTAATGAGCTCAGCTGGCGGAGGGGTGCGTCTCAGCCCTGCCCCCACCTCCCCACGGGTACGAGAGCTCAGCTGTCCCGTCCACTTACTGCGGGATAAAGAAGCCCAACGCTGAACCTGCATCCTGCACCTGCTGCCTCCCTGCCACACACACACACACACACACTCTAAATCCATCATTAGAAACACTCCAGCTATGCAAACCCACAAATATCACCACTATTTGGAGCTCAAAATTCTAGTCTATGTATTAGAGCTCTCTTTGGCTATTATTAAAATAAAAACGGCTGTAAATACATATGGCAAATATTAGTATGAATTCAGTATAAAATAATACAACAAATAATTTTAATTCATAAATGCTTCCATGTTAATCCTTTAAAGCTTTACTACACACAAACACATTTTTATATATTAATTATCCCTGATATTAAAAGTATATTGTAACAAAATAATAAACATATAAAATTTATCATAATAAATTAAATATTTTTGTATTATAGTAATTGACAAAATATTTATATATTATCAAAATAATATTAAATAATATGCAAAACACAAATAATAAAATATTAATGTTAATCATAACATTATACTATATACACTTACTACACACGTGAAAACCATTATTTATATATTATTATTATTATAATAAATGGGCAGTCCGTATAAAAAATATGTTGCTAAAAAATATATTGCACCAAATATATATATATTTTTTTAGCAATATAAACATAAATTTATAATGTATAATAATCCTGCGATGCTCTACTATATGCATTTATAAAATATTTTGATTGTATTATTTTATTTTATTGAATAAATATAATAAGAAAATAATAATCACAATACATTAAAAATATAGAAACATTTTAATATAGTATATAATATGCAAACATACTAATGGCGTAATATCAGACAATAATGTACTATACACACGCGAAAATATTTTTATTTACATATAATTATTATAGATGGGTAGTGCATATTTAACACCACATATGCAAATATAGTGTCAAATAATGCTATACGCATACAATATTTTTGGTTGTATTATTTTATTTTATTATAATGCTAATACATGCATAACTAGATATCATGTCTGTGTATATGTATATATATATATATATATATATATATATATATATATATATATATGTGTGTGTGTGTGTGTGTGTGTTAATGCTGTCAAATCAATTAATCACATCTAACATTAATGTTTTTACACTGTTTATTATATATATTATGTCTGTGTGTGCATGTATATATATATATATATATATATATTTACACAACATATTTATACATATATATACATATACACACATGTATATATATATATATATATATATATATATACACATCAAAATATGAATAAAATAAGTCATATTTCTCAATCTGGTCCACAAATTTTGTATCCCTATAAACATGGACTCATTGTGAGGTAGCGTTGAATAAAACCCCTATCAGTTACAGTCATGCAGGTTTGGCTCTTTGGAGGTTCAATACTGCGGGACTCAGGTGTTGATCTCTAATCATTACTGGGCCAGACAAAAGAGGGAGGAGGGGGAGGCAGAGGAGAAAGACGCCACCTGTCATGAGATCAGGACGAATGGCCCCTCTTTGGCCTCTGTGGAACGGTCCATCCTGCCTGCTAGATTAGTGGATCAATAGAGCACTGCTCATACGACGGTCACCATCAACACGATAATCAATACGGATATTCTCATAAATGCTGATCTGAGCACGTCACACCGCAAACAGTAGAAAAACACAACCTCATTCAGAGGAATGTTTCACGATCAATACATGCCCAGCTTTATAAACGGCTCTCTTCCATCAGATTGTACAAAACAAAAACAAATTGCTTTTTTTATACTATACTTTATATTTCTTATAAATAAAAATAATGAAAATATATTAAATATATTACTTCATTACAAAATAATAACAATTTATTTGTTTTTTTCCATTTAATTATATATATATATATATATATATACAGTATATATATATTTATATATTATATAATTTGTATATATTATATATATATATATATATATATATATAAATTATATTATAATTTGTATGTATTATATATATATATATATATATATATATATATATACATACGGTACAGTATATAGACAGATAATTTTTTGTTGATTTTTAATTTGTTTTTAAAATGACTTTTCTATCCACTCATCAACAGGAATTCAATCCAATACACAATTTTGCAATGATTATTTTAATGGAGCTCAGACTTTCACACAGTGACAAACTGAGGGGTGGTTTGACAGTTTTCTGACGGTTGTGGAGAAACAATGAGGGGTAAAAAAAATACTTGCATTCTCTTCCAGAGCAAACAAACACCACAAACAAACACGTACAACCGAAATTCACACAATCAGGACGAACAGCGTTTATGAGCCTGTTCACTACCTTGATCTCTCCACTGTCACTGCGACTCAAATACAGTGACAGCAGTGCAATTGTCTATTTTTTATTTGTATCGTAAAATTGCATATCAATTCATTCACACTTCGAACCAATGAGAGCTGACGTACTGCATCATGTGACCGAGGGCAGTCAGAATCAGCGGTAACACTATTATAAGGGCCAACGGAGATGATGATGAGATAAAAACAGTCATTTTTGTATTTCTCCTCTAGCTTTTGAAAAAACAAAGTGGCGTGATTGTTCAAAACACAGAAATGTTAAATCAGTCTTTCGCCCGGGTCAAACATAATAGACATTTTATTTTGACTTTTAAGAAAATTAAGCCTATTTTTAGCATAACTTTTTCTTCACATAATGACATTATTCTCATTAAAATTATGCTTGTCATGTCCAATTAACAATTCTCATTACCATAATGTGAAAAAATATATTGAATAAGAAAAGAAATATACATCAAGACATTATTTGATGTAGTTAATTTACTAATCTTGTCCAGACAAGATTAGTTTTATTACTATATTAAATTAAAATAATTGTTTTTTCCGCATTACAGTAATGACAAACGTGCGCAATTAGCATAGCAAAATGTCGTAATAATGCAAAAAGTATCAATTTTCTTATGCAAAATTTAATTTCATATTTTTTTCCTTTTGATTTCCCTTTTCTATGTGTGATTCACCCGAGATCATTGAAACAAAATACAAACAAAACAAAAACTATACAAATACTCAGTAGGATAGAAGTTTTACACAGATATGTAGTGTTTTGCTGTCAAAAGAAAACAAATACAATGATTTTCACATAAATGACTGCTGCTTCATACATTTACAATTGAGTTAGCAGTAGAAATACACCGTAACTTCAATTGACAAATTGCAAAAATATGAATGGTGAATATTGTGAAACCGAGTGCACGACATCTTAAAATGAAATTTAACTTCACCCTCGGCTGTGCTAAGGCACTGGCTAGATAGTGACCTATACCTCATAGCTAAGGTAGCTAATACTTTCACCCAAGAATGAAAATTCTCTCATCATTCACTCACCCTCAAGTTGTTCATAACCTGTACAAGTTTCTTTCTTCTTCTGAACACAAAAGAAGAAATTTTGAAGAATGTCGGTAACCAAACTGTTGACGGTAGCCAACAGTAGGAAAAAAAAAATACAATGGTAGTCAACTGTTTGGTTACCGACATTCTTTAAAATATCTTCTTTTGTGTTTAGAAGAAGAAAAAAACTCTTTTGTACAACAAAGGGAAAGTGAATGATGATATAATTTTTGGTGAACTAATTCCATTAAGTACTTAACCATTAGTTGTCAAATTAGCTTTTTATACTAAAACCATCCATCTGAAGAAATTATTTTTTCGGACTTTCTACAGATTAATAACCAATTGTCACGCAATTCACACATTTAATGCTTACTTACTAAAACATTTAGTAAATCAGGTTAATATTTCAATTGCTAACCAATTCGGAGACTTTAAAGGGTTAGTTCACCCAAAAATGAAAATTCTGTCAGTATTTACTCACCCTCATGTTGTTCCAACCCCGTAAGACCTTCGTTCATCTTCGGAACACAAATTAAAATATTTTTGATGAAATCTGAGAGCTGGATCACTCCTCCATACCAGTCCATAGGCTTCCTGAGGGATTGAAACTTGCCAGCCTCAAAAAGTTATTAAAGACATCGTTAAAATAGTCCAAGTGACGACAGTGGCTCAATCTTAACTTTAATAAGCAACGAGAACACTTTTTGTGCGCAAAAAACAAAAAATAACGACTTTATTTCAACTATTCATTTACTTCTCTCTCTGCCTCGAGTCAGGTTGCTAGTTTAATAGCGTAAGCTTCTGTTGTTGTACGTCACACGCATTACACACACGACCAGCGTCGGCCAATAGTGAGCCTACGAGTGACGTAGCTCTACGCTATCACACTACGTTAACTGACTACAGGCCCACAGAGAAGGAAGTGAACAGTTGAAATAAAGTCGTTATTTTTGTTGTTTTTTGCGCACAAAAAGTGTTCTCGTCGCTTGATAAAGTTATGATTGAGCCACTGTAGTCACTTGGACTATTTTAACAATGTCTTTAATAACTTTGAGGCCGGCAAGTTTCAATCCCTCAAGAAGCCTATGGACTAGTATGGAGAGATCCAGCTCTCAGATTCATCAAAAGGTCTTACAGGGTGGAACAACATGAGGGTGAGTAAATACTGACAGAATTTTCATTTTTGGGTGAACTAACCTTTAAGCAGTTATCTGGAGTGCTTAACATCAACGTTTTCCTTAAAAACACGATTGCATCCATTTTCAAGAGGCAAAGCGCAGTGCATATGAACAAATCTCACTAATGTAAAAAAAAAAATAAGTAAATCACACACACAGAAATAAACACGTCGACAGTAAATAACTAACTCGCATTAGTAGAATCAGTAACATCCCTGGTTAAACAGTATCTAGTTTGTTAAGCTCCAGTGTTTAGTAGCTTTGTAGTTAGTGCTGAACATTTACAGTGGTCTAAACTGGCTGTTAAAGCAGTGCAATATAGGCAATATTTTCTAGTAGCACTAGAAAAAAATAGATTGTTATTAACTCTTTTAGCTGCTTAAGTGTTAAAAGTCATGGTCCATCTGAAAGAAATGATTTACCCTGGATCACGTCATCTCGTACG